TTAACAAACCCCTATCTCCGAAAATGTTTACATTAAGATTCATAACAAGCCGGGCGGTGGTGGCACACGCCTTTAATCCCAGCACTTGGGAGGCACAGACAGGCAGATCTCTGTGAGTTCGAGACCAACCTGGTCTACAAGAGCTAGTTCCAGGACAGGAACCAAAAAGCTACGGAGAAACCCTGTCTCGAAAAAAATCAAAAAAAAAAAAAAAGATTCAGGCTGGAGAGATGGTTCAGTGGTTAAGAGCATTGCCTGCTCTTCCAAGGGTCCTGAGTTCAATTCCCAGCAACCACATGGTGGCTCACAACCATCTGTAATGAGATATGGTGCCCTCTTCTGGCCTGCAGGCATACACACAGACAGAACATTGTATACATAATAAATAAAATAAATAAATATTTAAAAAAATGATTCGTAACAGTAGCAAAATTACAGATAGGAAGCAGCTGTGAAAATAATTTTATGGTTGTGGGGAGTCACCACAACATGAGGAACTGTATTAAAGGTGTTCTAATTTATTTTAAAATGCCAAGAAGAGAACCCATACTATGGGTTCACATGGGAGGTTTATAGGAAGAGGACAGAGAAAGGGTAAAAAGGGGGACTGAGAAGGGAACAGAGAGGGTGGCAGAGACCAGTCCCTGGGGACAAGAGTCGTGGGAGGAAAAAGAAAGAGGGAGAGGAAGAAACAGAAAGAGAAGGGAGGTGGGCAAGGCCCACCTTTTAAAAGGGAATGTAGCAACAGGCGGTGGTGGTGGCACACGCCTTTAATCCAAGCACTTGGGAGGAAGAGGCAGGCGGATCTCTGTGAGTTCGAGGCCAGCCTGGTCTACAAGAGCTAGTTCCAGGTGTTAAAGGTACAGAAAACACCCTGTCCTGAAAAACCAAAGGGGGGGGATGTAGCAAATGTGCACAGGAGGTGCTTTTAGTGGCTGCAGCTGAGTATGTCTCATGTCAGGACCCCAAGGGCAGGCCAGGACAGATGTCTGAATACTAACAAAAGGGTTTCAGCATTAGGAAAGTTGAGAACCACTGATTTAAGTGATCAGGCAGCCCAGGCACCTTTTCTGCATGTACCCTTCCTTCTAGGTCTGCCTAAGAAGGGGTAGGCAACCTAGTCCCAGATGACTTTGTATAGAATATAATGGTCATGGTCAGTCTCGAGACAACCTTTGTATGATACAGATCCTTAGTAAGATTCCTTAGCCCATTCCCATGGTTTGTACCCTGATGGCCTCCAAGGTCATACCAAACTTTGGGGGTTATTCTACTCTGCCACTCAAGAACTCTCCTCCAGAATTCCTCAGGGCCCCAGGAGGATGGAATTGTGGGTTAGGCAGGTACGAGGTGTGCCGGGCTAGAGGCATCACAAAGGCGGGTGCCCTCGGATTTTGCCCATTGGCATGCCCTGGGCCTTTGGAAGACTGCTTGGTCCTGCAGTGCTGGCAGCCTCCTGGCTCAGCTGTTTGCCCCATTTCCTTCCGGATGGAACTAGGGGCCATAAAAGAAGAAGGTGGGAATGGGCTGGTGCAGATGCGCAGGCCAGGACCATGGAGACTGGAAAGACCAGCGGAGACAGGTGGGGTGGACCAGGGGTCTGCGGGTGGCTAAGTTAGGTGATGAGAGCACTGAATGGCAGCCATTTCTCGGCACTAGTGCGCATAACACAAAGAGCTCGCAGCATCACCAGGCGCTCTGGAAGGGTTCGCTCTTAGGATTGGACTCTTCGCATTGCTGTGGACCAGACTGCAGCTGAGGACCTTAGGCGCTAGAGCACTGGGGAACAAAATCAGTGATAAAGGCATGTGAGATCCCACAGTCCCCCAACCACAGGCTGGTTTTGGCCAGCTGGGAACAAGCACTTCCCACTCCCCTAGTAGGTCTAGCTCTAACACATGCTCTAATGACGACATCTAACCCCGCCCCTCAGCAGCCGGGTTCCCAGAGCTACTCTCCTTAGTTGCCCCTCGGGCTCTCCGACAGGCCCCGCCCACTTCCTGTTCTAGCCAATCCCACACAAGTGTGATGTTTCCTCTCGCCAGCCCCGCCTGTTCCCTCTGCCAGACCGGTTTGTACCGGCCATTCTGGCGGGTTTGATTCTGCCTTGAGCAGCGCGCGCAATCCGCGTAGTCGCGACTGTGACGCAAATGTGACGGAGGCGTGACGCGACCACAGTCGCTTCTGAGGCACTGGCGCTTCCTCTACCACGCAGGGAGCTGTCTTTTTGGGCTGTGTTCGTAGGCCTGGGCTGCCCCCTACGTTCGACACCGTCTCCCAGTTCCGGTCGTGTCTGCCATGGACGACTATGCGGTTTTGTCCGACACGGAGCTGGCCGCCGTCCTACGCCAGTACAACATCCCGCATGGGCCTATCGTGGGTATGCGGCAGCCGGTGGCGCGCAGAACCTCTCCTAGGCCCCGCTTTCCTGTGCTCCTCCCAGAGCGTTTTTCCCCACCTCCTCGTCCCCTCCCCGTATATCCCGGCGCTCTCGGGGTGCTCGGCTCGCACCCCCTGACCGCCTCACACCTTGTGTCTGGCCAGGCTCCACTCGCAAGCTCTACGAAAAGAAAATCTTTGAGTATGAGACACAGAGACGGAGGCTCTCGCCCCCCAACTCATCATCATCTTCATTCTCCTATCGATTCTCAGGTGAGGCCCCCGCCGCAGAGCCCCGTTGAGCTGCTTGGGGGGCACAAGGCTTGGGAAGGGAGGGTGTGGCTGAAGCAACGGAGGAAGTAGGGGGAAGCCTGGAGAGCTAATGGTCTGTACCTCCCCCTTAATGCAGACTTGGATTCAGCTTCAGTGGACTCAGACATGTACGATCTGCCCAAAAAAGAGGACGCCTTACTTTACCAGAGCAAGGGTAAGACAGGTGTGGGGTGGGCACTGATGTGTTTACCCCGTACTTCAGGGATTTGGGCACATTAAAAATCGTCAGACTTCACTCCCTCGTACTAGTTCTCAGTGGCTTTAGAGTGGAGAAACTAGGACGGCACATACACAGAATTTGGGGCTATGAGGCCAGGTAAGGGACACCACTTTCTCCTCTACCACTGTTTTCCTTCCCAAGACTATAATGACGACTACTATGAGGAGAGTTACTTGACTACCAGGACATATGGGGAGCCCGAGTCTGTGGGCATGTCCAAGAGCTTCCGCCAGCCGGGGACCTCACTGGCAGATACTCACGCCTTTCATCACCAGGTGAGTTGGCTGGCAAGCATACCTGGGTGTAGTCTGAGGGGGATCCTAGCTAGGTCTGGAAAAGTCCAAGGAAATATTAGGTGCAGAGAGTGGTCCTTAAGCCTTTAAACAGAGCTAGGGTCGGCATATAGCTGTTGGGTCAAAAGTTCTACTTTGGGGCCTTCAAAACTATTGATTTGGGGGTGGACATGAAGCTCAGTGGAGTACCACTTACCTATGGTTCCATCTCCACCAGTACACAAACTGTTTAAGATTTAATTACTTTGCTGGGCAGTGGTAGTGCACACCTTTAATCCCAGCATTTGAGAGGCAGAGGCAGGTGGATCTCTGAGCTTGAGGCCAGCCTGGTCTACAGCGCAGGTTCCAGATCAGCCAGGGCTACACAGAGAAACTCTTGTCTCAAAACACCAAAAAATTACTTTGTTACATTTATATGTCTGTGGTAGTCTACATGAGTGCTGGTGCATGCAAAGGCCAAAGGTGTTGGGTTCCTCCTAGAGCTGGAGGCACTCATCAGGCAGTTTACAAACTTTTTTGATCAGAGTACATGTAGCTAGCATTCCCTGCACTCTAGTCTGGGATCGAGACTATTGGGGAATAAAAGGACAGAGTTGACAGAGATAGTCACTGAGTGGCAAGGTCCCACAGATAAAAAGGTCACAGACCCACCAGAATGATTTTAAAGAAAGGGGGCAATGGTCTGGCTTCTAGGGTGGCCAGAGACATTTGTGGGAAAACACCCTTCTCCCAGATCCTAACCTCTACTGTCCTATAGGTGCGTGATGATATTTTCTCTTCTTCAGAAGAGGAGGGCAAGGATAGGTGAGTAGTGAATACACATTGGGACAGGGACAGATTTGGGACTCAGGCTCTCCTGCCCACCTGTTCCCTTCTTTTGCCACAGGGAACGCCCCATCTATGGCCGAGACAGTGCCTACCAAAGCATCGCACACTACCGTCCCATTTCCAATGTCTCCAGGAGCTCCCTGGGCTTATCCTATTATCCTACATCCTCCACCTCTTCTGTGTCCTCCTCTTCATCTTCTCCCACTTCGTGGCTTGCCCGACGTGCCATCAGGCCAGAAAAGCAGGCCCCTGTTGCTGCTTTGGGCCAGGATCGCCACGTTCCACTCTGGGGTCAGCTATTGCTCTTCCTGGTCTTTGCTGCTTTTCTGCTCTTTGTTTACTACTCCATACAAGCTGAAGAAGGCAACCCTTTCTGGATGGATCCCTGAGGGTATTGGTTTCAGAGAAGCTCTTACTTAACAAACAAGTTTTGGCTAATTGCCTTAGCAGTGTTTGCTGGGGGTGGGGTGGGTGGGGGCTTTTTGTGTCTTCTAGTTAAGGGGTTCAGGACCTAGCCTAGCGCAGTGCTTATCTCCCACCTCCTCCTGCCTAGGAAGCAGCAAATGCAGTCCTTCCACAGCCCAGTGGGCCCACAGGTACCTTCCTCTGGAGCTTCCTAGCCCTATGGCCTCTGACCCTTAGGGCTCTGGGAGATAAGACTTCAATTCTTTAGAGGAAAAGTTGGTCGTGGCAGTGGTAGTTGTTATGCATGCCTGTTTGTTGTCACCTTTTCAGGGTGTGTTAACCAAAGCCACCCTGGCTTTGTTTTCGTGGACACAATAAAAAAAAATAAAATAAAAAAAAGACACTTTTATTTTTACTTTGTTGGCTCTTCCTACTGGGATGGGAGCTGGGCAGCCATGGTACAGGTGTTTCATCATAGATCTCGAAGAACACTATGGCTTTTCCCTTTGGTTGTGCATTTTACTTTGGTCTTGTGGAAGGGACCAAATGCTACCCAAAGATAAAAGTCTGGTTTGGTTTTGGGTTTTATTTCTGAGCTCACTCCCTGAAGCACTTATAACTACTTACAGAAATAACTCCCATGTAACCAAATGTGCCCATGGTAAATGTAGGCAAAACTGCATGTATGATGATACACACAGGCATTTTACCCAGGAGAGGTTCATGCCAATATCTGAGGCTACAAGGTTAGAAAAGAAATAAGGCATCTTGCCAGTGGATTGTTACTCAGCCCCTGGGATTGATGGTCATTTAATGACATGGGGGTAAATTCAAGACTACAGTGTTCCTGTGAGTATCCTAATTCTTTGCCTGTTTATTCTTGCTCAGTTTCCAGGTTTTCTGTGCTAGATATAACATAATATTAAAAAGTTTTTATCCAGGGATAGTGGTACACATTTGGGAGGCAGAGACAGGAGGATCTCTTTGAATTCAAGGCTACCCGGATCCACATATCACAGTTTGAGAACAGAATCTCAAAATGAAAATTTAAAAAAAAAAATCAAATCCTGGGCTGCAGAGATAATGCTTAGTGGTTAAGAGCACTGGTTGCTCTTCCTAAGGATGCAGGTTCAATTCCCAGCATTTGCATGGTGGTTCACAAACTGTGACTCTAGTTCCCAGGGAGCTGATACCCTCTTCTGATTTCTGTGGGTAAAAGACATACATGTTATGTACAGACAGATGAGAGCAAAAGTCATGCATGTATTTTCTTTTTAGTATTTAAAAAATAAGGGGCTGGAGAGATGGCTCAGAGGTTAAGAGCACTGACTATTCTTCCAGAGGTCCTAAGTTCAATTCCCAGCAACCATATGGTGGCTCACAACCATCCGGAATGAGATCTGGTGCCCTCTTCTGGCCTGCAAGGATACATATGGGCAGACCACTGTATACATAATAAATCTAAGAACAAAATAAAATAATTATTTAAAAAAATAAAAATCAACCAGAAACCCAAGATTCTGGCATTTTTAAAAGTTCATTTGTCCTGTCATCTCTCTCTTTTGTTAATACAATTTTTTTGTACTGTTTTTCAAGACAGGGTTTCTATATCTTTTTTTTTTTCTTTTGGTTTTTCGAGACAGGGTTTTTCAGCAGCTTTGGAGCCAGTCCTGGAACTAGTTCTTGTAGACCAGGCTGGTCTCAAACTCACAGAGATTCTCCTGCCTCTGCCTCGCGAGTGCTGGGATTAAAGGGTGCGCCACCACCGCCCGGCTCAAGACATGGTTTCTGTGTAGCCCTGGCTGTCTTGGAACTTTTACTATAGATCCGGCTGGCTTCAAACTTAAAGATCCATCTGCCTCTGCCTCCTGAGTGTTGGAATTAAAGGTATGTACCACCACTGCCTGGCTTAACATTTTTACTAATTGAGAAGTTTTGTACATTTATAGAACATTTTTACCATTTTCTCCCCCAGGTAACCTCTATCTAACCCATTTAGAGTTGCTTGTATGTTCATTTAGGGCTGACCACTTATACTGGCTGGTTTAATGTCAACATGACACAAGCTAAAGCAATTAGACAGTTGAGGATTGCCACCATGAGATCCAGCTGTAAGGCATTTTCTCAGTTATCAATGGAGGAGGGCCCAGCCCATGGTAGGTGGGCTATTCCTGAGTGTCATGGATTCTATAAGAAAATAGGTTGAATGGGGTTGAGGATTTAGCTCAGTGGTAGAGCGCTTGCCTAGCAAGGCGCAAGGCCCTGGGTTCGGTTCTCAGCTTCAGAAAAAAAAAAAAAGAAAGAAAATAGGTTGAAGCCAGGTGGTGGTGGCTCATGTCTTTAATCCCAGCAATCGGGGAGGCAGATTTCTGTGAGTTCCAGGACAGCCATAGATACCAGAGAAACCCTGTCTCGAAAAAACCAAAAAAAGAAAAAAACGGGTTGACCAAGCCAGTAACCAGCATCCCTCCATGGCCTCTGCATCAATCAGCTCCTGCCTCCAGAATACTGCCTTGCTTGAGTTCCTGTCCTAACTTCCTTTGGTGTTGAACAGCAATGTGAAAGTGTAAGCTAAATAAACTCCTCCCCAACTTGCTTTTTGGTCATGGTGTTAAGTTGCAGCAACAGAAACCCTAACTAAGACACCACTTGTGATTGGTAAACCTATCAAAGAAAAAGAAAAACCTATCAGGAAGCTTGTACCTGAAGAAAACTGATTTTCCTTCTCTTAGCAGACATTGATTGCCTATAGTTGTTCACCTATGGATGGGACCTTGTGAATTTTCCCTCATCCACACTCTCATGTCAAGTGGAGTTTTCATTATATAAGTCTTTTTTTTGTGAGGCAGGGTTTCTTCACAGGCTTTAGAGCCTGTCCTGGAACTCACTGTAGATAAGGCTGGCCTTGAACACTGTCTGTCTCCCAAATGCCGGGATTAAAAGCATGTACCACCACCACCACCCTGCTATACAGATCTTATTTAACCAACCATATCTTATTTTTTTCAGTTTTGTGCTTCACGTGTTTTACTCATTCTTTCCCCTTCCCCCCAACTCTTCTCATATCCGCCCCCCTTCCCTACCCACCCAACTTAGTCTTAAAAACCTTCCAAGGCTGGGCCGTGGTGGCACACACCTTTAATCTAAGCACTTGGGAGGCAGAGGCTGGCGGACCTCTGTGAGTTCAAGGCCAGCCTGGTCTACAAGAACTAGTTCCAGGACAGGCTCCATAGCTACAGAAAAACCCTGTCTTGGAAAAACAAGAAAGGAAGGAGGGAGGGAGGAAAGAAAAAGAAAGAAAACCTTCCAGGTCAATTTATGCTGCTCAAATATTCTTGAATGTCTTCCAATTTAGGCAAAACTGTCTCCCTCTCCTAGAAGATTTCAATTCTTATTCAATCCATAACTAGGAGTGGGATTGTATGGCCAACTCCCCTCTCCATGCTGAGATTTGTTGTTTTCTCGTCTTTTATTTTGGTGGTGGTGGTGGTGTTTTTGAGACAGGGTTTCTCTGTATAGTCTTAGCTGTCCTAGAACGCTCCCAGTAGACCAGGCTGGCCTGGAACTCAAGGATCTGCCTGCCTCTGCCTCTCGAGTGTTGGGACTATAGGCATGAGCCAATATGGGTATGCTAAGACTTGGAAGGTAAAAACAGCATAAGGAGTTCAAGGCCAGTCTGGGCTACATGAGACCCTCCTCAAAAGCAGGGAGGGGGCTAGAGAGGTGGTTCAGTAGTTAGGAGTACTAGCTGCTCTTCCAGAGGACCTGGGTTCAATTCCCAGAACCCACAAGACAGCTCACAACTGTAAATCAAGTTCCAGGGAATCAACACCTCACACAGATATAACATGCAAGCAAAACTCCAATTCACATTTAAAAAAATAACTTATTTCAGAAAAAAGAAAAGTGGACAAGATGACTTAGGGTAAAAGTGCTTTCAGTGAAAGTCTGACAACCTCAGTAAACACACAATAAAATTTGAATTAAAAAACAGCCAGGCAGTGGTGGTGTACACCTTTAATCCCAGCACAGGAGGCAGAGGCAGGCAAATTTAAATTCAGAACCAGCCTGGTCTACAAAACAAATTCCAGGACAGCCAGAGCTACACAAAGAAACCATGTCTTAAAAAAATCCAGAGTAGAATGTCACTCACTGCCCTGCATGCCTGGCTCCATGCTGCCAACAGGGAAGGAAGGTGCACTGGCAAGCACAAATTCCCCATGGGCAGTAGGAAATAGAAGTCCAGCCAAGGGTGGGGTCATGGCTTCAGTTCTTGCCCGGCTTGTTCCTTGTCCAGCTTCTCATCTGGCATAGCAACCACACAGTATTTGCATATGCATCCTGGGATCTTAGCTGTCTTGAGCCACAGGATGACCCTCACCACCTGTTCCTGGGCTGGAGAGATTGCTCAGTGGTTAACAGCACTGGCTGCTTTTGTAGAGGACCCAGGTTCATATTTCCAGCATCCATTGATGGCTCACAGACAACTGACTATAAGTCAAGTTCCAGGGAATCCAGTGTTCTCTTCTGACTTCTTTCAGCACCGGGCATGCATGTAGTACACAGATAGACATGAAGTCAAACCATTCCTAGCCATAATTTTTTTAAATACTGTATGAGGATAGCACAGTATGTAAGGACAGTCGCCACCAATCCTAACAATGAGAATAAACTCTTGCAAGTTGTCCTCTGACCTCCACATGAAAGCCATGACACATGTGTGTCCATAGACATGCATAAATAAATAATACATTTTTTAGCCAGGCAATGGTGGTGCATGACTTTAATACCAGCACCCTGGAGGAAGAGGCAGGCAGATCTGAGTTCAAGGCCAGCCTGATCTACAGAACTCCAGGACAGAACTACACATAGAAACCTTGTCTCAAAAAAAAGTATATATATTATAAACATTTTAAAATGATAATAGGGCCAATCTTGGTGGTACACACTTTTAATCGCAGTACTGGAGAGGCATGGGTAGGGGATTCCCTGAATTCAAGGCCAGGCAGGGCTACATAGTAAAACACTGCCTCAAAAAATAATATATGGGATCTGGAGAAATGAAGACAGGTTCAGTTCCGACATCCATATCTTACAGCTCATAACACCTGTAACTCCAGTACCAGGGTATCTGTCACTCTCTTATGGCCTCCATAGGTATCTGCATGCATGTGATATGCACACACACAAACTATATAGGCTGGGTGGTGGTGTCCCAGCACTAAGGGGGCAGAGGCAGACAGATCTCTGTGAGAGAGAAACCGTGTCTTGAAAAAACCTTAAAAAAAAGTGCAAGATTTGTCTGGCCCTATATAATGAGCTCCAGGCCAGCCAGAGCTACAAAGCAAGACTAGTTAAAAATAATTTAAAAACTGGGTATAGTGGTGTACAATTTTAATCCCAGCATTTCCAGGGGACTAGACATCGTCTTCTGACCTCCTTAGTCACTCAGTGTACATACATCCATGCAGGCAAAACAAACACATAAAACAAAAATAAATCTTTTTTAAAAATAATTTATCTTTATTTTATGTACATTGGTGTTTTGCCTGTATGTATCTATGTGAGAGTGTAGGATTTCCTGGAACTGGAGTTGCAGATAATTGTGAACTGCTATGTGGGTGCTGGGAACTGAACTAGGATCCTCTGGAAGAGCGGCCAGTGCTCTTAACCACTGGACTGTCTCTCCAGCCCCAAGACTTTTTTTTTCTTTGGTTTTTCGATATAGGGTTTCTCTGTGGTTTTGGAGCCTGTCCTGGAACTAGCTCTTGTAGACCAGGCTGGTCTCGAACTCACATAGATCCACCTGCCTCTGCCTCCCAAGTGTTAAAACTGTGTTTATTTAGCCAGGCGGTGGTGTTTATTTTAAAAATACTTTACTTTAAAAAAAAGTGTGTTTATTTTTTAAAAAAAAAAAGTAGCATGATGGCACATACCTTTAATCTCAGCACTCAGGAGGCAGAGGCAGGCAGATCTCTGAGTTCCATATTAGCCTGATCTACATATTTATTGAGTTTCAGGACAGCTAGAGCTACATAGGGAAAATGTCTCAAAAAGGTGTGTTTATTTCTGTATCTTTTATATATGAGTGCTCTGTCTGCATGTCACAAGAGAGTATCAGATTCAATTATAGATGGTGGTGACTCACCATTCGTGTACTGGGAATGAACTCAGGAACTCTAAGAAAAACCAGTGTTCTTAACCTC